CCCCAAAACCCCAAAACCCCAAAACCCCAAAACCCCATTTCAATAATTTTTAATTGAAAACCTTTGTTATTTTCTAGATTTGCTGGTGATAAGGCTTGCAACTGATTTATAGCAGGAGTCAAATGGCATTGGAAAACCGTCTAGGATGTCCTTTCTGGGTAGCTGCTTTTTAAACTCAATGAAAACTCCTCATTGGAGAGATGGAGATTTAGACCGTTTTATCTTCTTTACAACTTTTGCAGGGTTTTGGATTTCTTCTGAATCTATATCGATGTTATTTACAAAGATATACCTCCTTCTGCTTCTGAATCATTTTTCTTCTCCTTTAATGCCTTTTTCTTGATCTTCAGAGTTGTTCTTGGTGACTTCTTTAATCTCTCGAGTCTCTTTTTAAAGCTACTTCTAATCTCAGTCAAATCATACCTTGAAGTTTTGGCACTTTCTTCAATAACAGCGTGTCCTTGACCCTAAATATAAAATAAGTTCAATAAGCTTCTTTCTTACCTTTATTTTCTTAAGTATTCTCTTCCACTTGCCTTGGCTCTGGCTTCTTCTCCTGGAGTTAGATTTCACACCTAAAAGAGTATAAGACTGCAATCAGTCAACACCCACAAAGAATTTAAACCCCCTAGAAATCTGGATTCGGGCTCTTTTTTATTTTATTCCAAATAAGAGGTTTCATATTGGATAAAAGGAAATTTTAGTTTGGCACTAAGCAAAACTTAATCCTCCATGCGCTAGTTAGGCTAAAGTGAATGCTAATGGCAATTTATGGAATCTTATTTGTGGATATCTAAGAATATTTATAAATTTGTATAGGAATTTTTGATCATAGAAATTTAAACCAAGATTTGTGTAAGCTCAGATATATGGAAAGAGGTGAACAAATCTCGGGGGTTTCACGTTAGAGTTATATTATAGACAATGATGAATTAAAGGGTGATAGTAAAAGAAAAATTTATGAAAGAAAAATATGTTATGAAAATGCCTGGCTTACAGAATTCATGAAGGAAGAATCTTCCTGAGTTGCTCTGGTTTAGTGGTTGGAATTTCAGATTTGATTTGTCCCCACTATGTATAAGATTTAGGACGAATACCTCTCAATTTGGATATAGCTTGGCTTGTAATGCCCTACGGGAGGTACTTGAGGAAGAGGACTCATAACTTGACGTTTTTGCTCCCTAGAAAGTGTTTCATCCCACATTAAATCCAAATATTGTTAAAGACTGTGGAAAGAGATGAGGAGATCAAGCTCTAAAGAGAGGGAATAGTACCTAGTCCTGATTCTTTCTTTCTCTCTTTTCTTTCTGAGTATTTTCCTTTGGCTATTTTTTAATTTCTTGGAAACTTTGAAACTGAATCTATTTTAAATGATCTATTTGTCATCGCGAAGGAGTACTTGTGTGTTCATTTTTGTAGAGACCTTCATTGAACTGAGCCAATAGGGGAGAATGATCATTGTACTGGGGGCTAGCCACCCGAACATGCCTTCTTGGAGTCTTACTCATCATTGTGCCCATTTGTTCTATTTCTAAGTGGGAATATTAGCAATGAAGAGGATGATAAAAAGAAGAGTTTGAGGTACCTTTGTAGAACATATTGTTACTCTGAATCATTCTTCTGCCACTTCTTGACATGTTGCTTCCGAATACATCCATTGTTATTTTAATTTCAACTAAGAAAATAGATAAAGGGGTTTTGGGGTTTTGGGGTTTTGGGGGGAT